AATATTTTTTCTCATCACTAGAAAGGACTGTGCAGTTTCCCGGAACTGTTTTCTACTTGTCTAATGCCAAGTGTCTCTCAAGGTCACAAGCAGTCACATGACTGCTATGCACATTACCCTTTTGAAGAGCATCAAGAACAGAGCAAGGCCATTTCCCTACACTAATTGGCATCCATTATATCCATATATTCTCTACTCTTGATGTTCATGTGTCTGAGATCAGACCTTTTAGCTCATAAGCCTTTTTGGAGGAGCAAAATGGGAAGAAGAGGTTCATTGCCTCTTTTCTCTTCAACCAAAATCCAAGAGTAATGAATTCCAACATTACAGGGAAAGGAAGGAGCTTTTGACAAATCTCAAAGAACCAAATTACTCTAAAGGCACATCCATTTTTCCTTCAAGTGACTGCCTGCATATTCTACTCTTGGTGGCTCAAGCAGAAACTTTTTGCTCTGAGCAGACGCTTCAAGTCTTTGCCAAAGCAAGTATCTTCTGTGGATGCCCTCTTAATGAAACAGCATGTTGTGAACATATGAATTTCAACCTTTAAGAGGCCATTCTACAGGGTTTCATCAGTGGAGTTATTTCTAAAGCAAGCTACAGATACAAAACGACCTTTCATTTGGTCACCAGGTGCATTAAAAAACTTAAAATATTTGGTAACAGCCCGATACATTCCAAGAGTCCACCTAGATAACCTCTGGGGAGAACAGCTTAGTTTCATCCAGAAACGAAACTTTCTGACCATATAAAGGTAGATCCTCAGAAGTGCTAGCATTAGATGTAGCAAGAGAAAACAAAAGTAAATGAACAGTATAGTTAAAAACTAAACAAAGAATTTTGGATTCAGGCAGGCCTCATCCAAGGTTTCTCAGATTTTTTTCTTCACAAGATGAGAACAGCAGAGCCATTATAAACAAAATTTACATTTCTCCTACTTAGCAGACGTCAAATAACCAATATTTTCATGCAAATATGGTGTAATGAACATGCAGCTAATGGTTAAAATGGAGAACCTAGACCAGGAAACAGAATTCCCCCACAATGGGTTTAACATGTGATTCTAACTCAAGGGTATTAAATTCACCAAGGACCCCAGGTACATAGGTTTCCTGGTTCGATAGATCCAGGTTGACCATGGGATGGTAGCTGTGGCCACTGCAGTGTCAGGCAGCTGCTTGTTGTGGTGGAGGCACACAATCAGTGGGCCAGGTGGCTGCAGTGCCAAGGGCTTGTTGCATATCCCTTGCTTGCCAATCTGCCAAAGGCCATATCCACTGGGGCCACAGGGCCCTAAGTTCTGCAGCAGGCCATGTCCACTGCTAGCCACAGCCTCAACTTCTGACAGCTTGCCAATACCCCAGCTTCTGAGACAGCTCCATGGGTCAGACCCAGCTCAGGCTGCATTTTTGACATCCTTGCTCTAACTGAATCCGATAGATGCACTAATACTAGTTCTAGAAAGTGAAAAAGACACAGTCTACAAACAGGAAGAAATACATATTAGTCCTAACCCAACAACCAGGCAATTTTAGGAAAGAAAGCAAAGCTAAAATGAACAGGCTACAGGCAGTCCTCGACTTACAATGTTTTGTACTTACAACGTTTATAAATTGACACCATTTCAACTTTATGATGTCAGTTTTGAGTTTACAACGCTTGATCTGAAGCAATACCATGCCAGTGAACAAGTTCACTGTATCGCTCGTCTCCCTGGAGAATATCTGTCTAAACTTCCTTGAACACTTTAAGAAAGCAGACAAGACTCCAGAAAAACCTGCAGCCAAGACTCCTGAGAAGACTCCAGCCAAGAACCCTTCAAGAAGTCCAAAGTCACCTCAAAGAAGTCCTTCCAAATCAATGATTGCTATTTGCAATATAAATAAATTAATGTAGCTATATTACTCATGTATAATTGAGTACAAAATTCTGGGGTATTTTTGGTGAAAATAGGGTATTGGGCCTTGGTTCAGGAACCAAGCCCCCATTTATAGCATTGTTTATGAGAAAATTGGTTCCGAGTTACAATGTTTCAACTTGAGAGGCAGTTTTCAGGAACCAAGAACCAATTGTGTCCGAAGTCTGAGGTCTGCCTATATTTGCAAAGAGGATGGGCAATACTCTGCCCAAATGGTAAGCAGCACAGTTTGATTTAAATCAACTTCATTTCAATCAGTAAGGCAAAAGCCTGGTATTGATCAACTAAAAATCACTGATACCAATCAACTCTCACTGTAGTTTTTTGGTTTTAAAGGTGTATTTCATTGGTTGATACAACAATTAAGACATGTATTTGATTGTAAATCAACAGTTTTTACAGTAGATTTGCTATGTTTCTTAGGAACAAGCTATGTATACCATACAATTAAAAAAAATACAGCTCAACATATTTGGTTCATTAAATATCCTACAGTTTAATATGCTATTAAGTGGTGAAATATATATTTCATATTCACTATAACTACAATTTTGCTCACATTTGTATTTGCATCTTAATCTGCATTAAGATGGCAACTTCAATTTAATTAGCACACACAAGATCAGCACTACAAATTTATTAAAACAAAGTATTGTTTTGTATACAGAAACTTTTAAAAATCAACACAGCGTCCAAATTTACAATTACATTTATTAAGCGTTAGTATTAGCTGTAATAGTATTAGAAATGTGAACTGCGGTTAGTAAATCAAACCAATTCTTTCAGGTGACCCTGGGGGCAATGGTCCAAAAATGCCTAGGTGGAAATCATTTGAGTTTACATCTCCTACTTGCCCAATTCTCTTTAACAAAGCGGTTTAAAAAAAAGTGACATTGGCTATTTTGAAAATCCCCACCACCACAAAACACCTTCTTTCAAGTTTTCAGAACTCAAATCTCACGCTCTTGTTCTAGGTGTTTGCCAGCAACTTCCACCAGTTAAGGGGTAGGACTTTCTTTAAAACATCTTCAGCAAACATGTACTGCTTGAATGGTTCAACCTCTAGCCCTGATATTTGTTATGGCTGGCATGCCTGATGGGCAATCAGTAGATGCTCATGTCACAACAGCATTTTCTTCTTTGGCAGTTATGCTTAACCTAAAGTACCAGGGTAGATAGGTGCCTGTTGTTAAGAAACCAAGGTGGAGCAAGTGCTTGACCCATCCACTTCTTTACTGCATGCAATTAAACTTTGCTATTGGGTATTTCTTGCTTTAAAAAGTTTCAAGGTCTTTCCAAATTTCAACAGCATCTGCAATACAGCAGCAGCAGTAGTTTGTCTAAGACTGTGGACATAGATGATGTACTGAATATGCCAAAACCTACATTTCTCTTTAGTCCAATCTTGAACTACTCTAGCTATACTTCCATCAATTTTATCATGATTTTCTTCACAGATGGTCATCAAACCAGGCCAGTTCTTAATAAGTAGCTCAAAGCCGTCAGCCACTGAATTCCATCTCACATCTTAGGAGAGAATTGACTTGGATTCTCCAGCTCTCTTCAGTGAAGCTGAAGCAAATTGGCTGTTATAAGAAGTATTCTGTAATTTTAATTTTTTTCTTTATTCCTGGAGCACTTAAATCTTTAGCTATAAGATGCATAAAATTAACAGCGCACTCAGTAAGTTTTAGGTGTGCTTCATTTTCCTCTAAATTTCTTCTCATCTTTGCTACATTTGCAGGATTATCAGTGACAAGTCAACACATGTGATGCTTACATTTTTGCTCAAATTGCTATAGCTTTTACTGTTACTACTTTAAAATATTTTGCAGCACAGGCTTTTCCTGAGGTATCAATTATTTCCAATAAACAGCCCCATTTTCTGCTGGGACACAAGCACATTTAACTGGATCTCAGTGAGCACTGCACCATTGAGCAAGACTCAAATGAACACTTCTCCTTTCAATGTTTTTTGCACACTGTTAGTTTCCCTTCTCATACACTATATCCAGAAGCCTTACAGCATCTTCTCTGCTGGGTAAAGTGTAACCTGCTGGTAATGACTGAACGTCAGTGAAGTTTTTGTTCTGAAGAAGACTAAAGGGAGAATGTGTTGCATAAATGAACCAAGCAATCTTTTCATCTACGTGGTCCTACTGGACTTTGCTGGTCATAATTACGCCCTCATCCATAGTTTTACTTGGTAACGAGCAAGCTCTTTTTGGATACAGGTAATTCACTGTCTGAGGCATGTTTAGTTGCAGGACTCTTGGTGGTACCAGTAGAGGATTCTGAAGTTGCAGATATTGGAGATGGATGTTCATAAATTTCTTGGGTTTAAGATGGACCTTGAAACAAAATGGTTAAAAAAAGTCACTCACACTGAATATTACTGATACTGTAATGAGATAAGTGAAAAAATCCCTCCCCACAGCACATGTTTTTTAACCTATGATTAAACAATATATATTTTCAAAGCCAATTCTATAGGGAAAATATTCACTAAATCAAAAAGGTTATCTTCTTCTACTTAAACCTTTTTCTTTACCAATACAGAACAGCTTGGGAAAAAACAACTTATTTTAAAATTCATAAATGCCTATTAAACTGTATTCTGCATAAGATCTCTTTACCTAGGACTGGTGTATTTGTTTACACTGAACAATAAGGACTGATTTTGAAAGTGCAGGGCTAATATTAAAAACATATAATTGACAAATACTCCCAAAAACTGGCACATCCATTAGATTTTGAACATAGTAATTTTGAAATTCATAAGTAACCCACCCAAAATAATTATCATCATCATACATTTATCATTTACTAGCACTGCTATATGGCAGGTAAGACAGGAATGATTAAAAAATATTAAGTTTACTAACCAATGGATCCGGATAGCTCAGACATATGCACGTCACCATCTTCAAGTTCACTGCTTTGAGGAACATTTTTCATGTTGCTTCCTTTGAGCTACCAGACTTTGCATCTTTGTTGCACTGTTTACATTTAGCACATGCTCCTCTTTCCCAGGGGCACAGGAATTTCTTGACAAAAATTCCCAAACAGGGTTTTATTTCCACCCCACAGCCTGCACACATAGCAGATTTTTCCTCCAGGTGTTGAAAAATAAATCAGGACTTAGTGTTCTCAGCAAGTTAGAAAATAGCTAATGATCTATTGCTCCTTTCCCAGATATATTGATCATGGTGTGTGAAACAACTACATTAGTATGGTAACTGAAATTTAAGTAAAACACACTGAATAGCACACATTTCTTTATTAACAAGCTGTTTAATCCTTAAAATGTTTCAGATACATAAAACTTCCCTTAATCAAAAGATATTTCACATTTACAAGTATTAACTGCAATCAGCAAAATAAATGCATTTAAAAAGTTAACCTGGGGGAAAAATAAGTTTCAACTATGACCAAGTGAAAGTGCCTGTAAACTAGCTTCCTAGTCCCTCGACTGTCTTGAAAATGAAGCTGTTTGAGTTACTTCGGCCACCCTTGAAACTTTTAAAGAATTAGCAGATCTTATCTCCTCCTCCTCCTATTTTGCACCCTTCTCCCCCACCAGAGTTGCGGAAGACAGACATTTTCCTGCTTCTTTAACTTCCAATTAATCTTGCACTTTTGAAGATGAGAGTCCAAGTGAAGAATACATTTACTTTGCCTGCAGATGAGGCTACTTGCTTTCAAAGCCTTGTTTGCTGAAATATTCAGTTCCAGTCCCAGCTGCTTACCTGGTGGCTTCCAGGGGTTCAGTGCAACAAGCCTCTTAAAAAACAAACAAAAAAAATCCACACACTGCTCAAGCGATTCACCCCCAATCCTGAAGTTTGCCAGGGCTGGCATTACTGGTGGGAGATAATTAGATACCCCATATAGCTGTATCTTTTTTCTCCAGCAGTCATGCAACAATCCTGGCGCTACCAGTTGAGGGTATTGGCAAGAAAGTACGGTGAAGTGCTTAATCTAATTCTTTACTGCTTGCAGTTTAACTTTGTTGTTGGATATTTCTTTCTTTGATGTCTCTTGAAGTGCTTTCCAAATTTCAAATCAACAGCATTGCAATACAGCAGTAAATCTTTCCATAGTTTGTCCAAGGCTATGGACATAGGTTTCAACAGGGTCAGCATTTCTACATTCTGCTTCATTATGTTGACTTCTTCCATTGTGAATTCCATCTATTGCATTACAATTTTTTCCGTAGTCATCAAAATAGGTCAGGTTTTTTTTAAAAGACTCAAAGCAAGTAACCACTGAATTTCACTGTGTATCTTGGAGATAAGAGTAGTTTGACTCCTCTTGCTTCCTTCACAAAGCTGAAGGAAAAATTGTTGTAAGGTATCTTGCAATTTCAAGATGATCCTTTATGCACAGAGTATGTCAGCCTGACAAAAAAAATGCAACTGAACACTGCACTCATAAATTACAGGTTCCTTCATTATGTTCAACTTGGCTTCATTGGTAGCCTTGTCCACAAGGAAAAGTTAGCTCCTGCCATTTACATTTTTGTTCACAATCCATTATATGTTCTAGTTTTAATTCTTTTAAAGTATTGTGCTTAGGGTATTTCCTGGTATATCAGGAATTTCTGGAAGATGAACAATCCCATCTTCTGTTGTGTACATTGCTCAACCCATCAAGACAAAGAGTTTCGTTGTGGTTTTATATGCTGTTCAATTTCCATCAAACAGCATCCAGCAACCGTCCAACAATGTCCATCTGCCATGTAGCATAACCTGGCCTTAAATCATTGAACCAATTCAATTATTTAACATTGTTAACAAAGTTTGAAAACAGAGATTTTGTTGAGAAAATTAACCAAATAGGTATGCATTCTTGCTGGAATTTGTTAGTCCCCATTATGACCTCAGCTCTGGTTTCAACTCAATGAAGGTTTTTTTGATAGAGGTAATTTACTGACTGATGTGGGTCTAGCTGCAGTACTACTGATGATACCCAGAGATGACACTGAAGTTGGAATGACTGTACTTGATGGATGCTCATAAATCAGACCCCCTATGGATGCTGAAACAAAGGTTAAAGAGCATCACTTGACAATGAATGTCCAGTACAATGCTTTAAAAACAAAAAACTGTAAGTGAAATATTCTTCCTATTGCTGCTATTTGTAGTTGTAAAAACTGTGGTATAACTATTAATTCCATACAGTTGTACGTGTGGAGTATAGAATCTTTGTGATTTACTTTGAAGCAGATTTCTACTCCCTTAAAGCTGTTTAGCAAGTTAAAATTCAGAAACACTAAAAACTTAATTTTAACCAGGAATATCGTCACTGAGCGTGCTGACTTTTGCTCAATGTAAGCTGACACGGAAGTGACAGACACGCTCTCAAACATGCCAATTTATATATGTTGAAGACAATCATTTTGAAATTTGTCAGCAATGAAGATATAAAAACTTATGCTAATTACCCAAGTTAGCACTACTAACAGTCTGTACAAAAGAGTGAAAAAATTCAGTTCACTAACCAGTTGGTCTGACATGTCCACTTCAGAATCTTCAAAGTTGCAGCCTTCAGACGAACCTTTTCCAAGTCATTTCACTGGCAACCAAGCTTGGTACCTCTACTTTAAAAAATATATCAAATGCGCAACATTCTCCCCCAAAGGGTTTTTATTGATTTATTTTACAACCTACTGCCCTGGCATTTCTCTCTCATTTCCAGATGTTATGTCATGTTAGAGGAGATACTCTGAAAAATACAATTGCTTCATCCCACTGTGTCCTGCTTTGACACCAGTGATGCTTCTTTCTTGTTGCATCTACTATTCCACCTCCTTCTGTTTCTATAACTCCTCCACCTACCTCCAGAAAAAACAAAGGAACCAACAACCTGAGACTTGTGTAACCCATGTGTCTTTTACACCGCAGCCCTGTGTTTTGATAAAAAAGGGAGGAGGTTGAGAAATTAATGGATTTGTCTGCTTGCATCTGTATATACATACAGAAGGAGACAGAACAAACCAGTTTATCTGAAGTGGCCAGAACTAACCAGTGCCTGCAGTATGGTAGTTCTCAGGCACAGCAGTGTTTACACAGAAGATACTGAGCGCTGAGTAAGAAATATTCATAAACTTAAGAACTGAGCAAGAGCTCAGAGGTAGAAACTATAAGGAGGGTGGACTGGACCTCTCGGGTGGGCTTGACAGATGTTTCTGATGACAGTTTCCTGGAATCATAGCCTGGGTCCCCATGCCTTCATACTTTGGCAGTTTCACAGAGCAACACAGTCCCTAGGTCTCCCATACAGCATCAAGCCATAATATAGTACATGACCTACAGTGCTTTATTTATAAAGCTAGACCTAAAAATTCAGATACAAACCCCTGATTCTTCTTTTATACAGAAAGAGACATTATCTATAGCTCAGCTTTTTATACACTCATGGAATTCAGCAATTATTTATTTTATTTATGTTGTAAGAAATAAGTTGAGGCCTTAGTATATTTTGCACATCACATTCCTATTACTTTTTTAGCTGTTTTTTAATTAAACAAAACCCAATATGAAAATTCAAGATCAATTTTTATCAACCCTGTCAGCCAGCTTTGCATACGAAGAATGATGGACCTGGAACAATGTGACGGTGTCTCTGCACAATGATATGCCCCCTAAAACTCTAACATAATGTTACTGTTTGAGAACTGCTCTTATTTTACAGTGTGTCATAAATGCAAAACTGAACTAAAGCAGATGACTACACAGTGGTAAAGTCTAGGAAAGCTACTATAAGCAGCAATTTTGCCTGCTTACCCATGTCTCAAAACCAATGCCCGAGATTTCCAAAGGAAGGGTCCCTCGCTCCTCCCACTATCCAAAAGTGGATTCAAGAGTGTAAATGTTAGTACCCTGTTTTCCCAAAAATACTTTCTGCCCAGGGGATAGGGTAAGGGAGCAGTGCACTGAGGAAAGGGACAGAAAAAGGGGACTCCTAGTATCCTCCAGTGCCCTGTGTGTGCATGTAAGGGGTTAAGGGAGCAATGCAACAAGGGAAGGAGAAAGCCCTTAAAAATGAACAGCTGAGTCTGACACCTCTAAGGGGACACCACATGGAAATGTTATATTGCTACTATGAATCAAAGTGTTCCTTGCAAGTGTAATGTATCAAGATATGGAAACATGTCCCTGCAGGCCAAGATCTGTGAAAGTCTCATGGATCTAGAGAAAGGACTTTTCTGATTCTGGGAGGAATGCATGCATGCACTGGATCATAAGCTGTTCTCCAATTTTTCTTCTTGGGACTCGGGAAGAAAGTTTCTCTCACTTTATGCTGTACACGTGTTCCTGGAAAACGGCGCATAGCTCGAATTCACATAAAGGGAAGCCACTTTAAAATGCAACTAATAGGGGCATGTCCGAAGACCTCGACTGTACTGAACCCTAGACCCATTTTTACCACTTTTACAAGACAATTTTGGTACTCACCAACAGTGGATAGTGCTCTGTACTTGTGCGTACTATCATAATGGGCATGACAACTACAGAAACACGTCGCAGATAACAAGTGAGGAGCACAGATCCACACAGGAGACTATTTTGGTGCACATCACTCCCACAATGCACTGCACAAAGCAGCTGACTGCAGGCTTCACCACACCAGTCGCATGAGAGAATTTACCCTGCATATAGCAAATTTTTCATAAGAGCCCATTTGCACATACAGAACCCACATAAAGTGAGGGCTATCTAGTCTGAATAATCCAAAGGAGCCAGGGATCTATTCTGATATTATCCCAGGCTTCCCTGGCAAGGGATGGGAAGGGGAGGAGAAAAATCAAATGATCTGTTGCAGATGGAAGATCACAGGAGGAGCAACACACTGAAATGTGGAGGCTTTGATATTCTGTTCAGGACTTAAACTCATCCCACCTGTATATTTTACATAGGTATGAGGTACATAACCCTGCCCACCTCCTAGAAGCCAGAGTCAGTAATATAAGTAATATAGGAGGTAATAAAGTGTGAGCAAGTCTCTCCATCCACTTTGCGTCCAAAATAATGAACCTGAGTCATGGAATTCCTATGAGATACGTAGCAGGGTAGGAGTTGAGAGACTCCTCCCCTTCCCACTTCATATTCTTCTTACACAAGAGGAGCAGATCCAACAGAAATGCTTTGGAAGGCCACCCCTTCACAAACAAAGGATCAACTGCCAACATCAGTGGTTTCAGTAATAGTTTTATTTGGGGGCTCCTACTTAGGGCAAGGGCTCTAGGACTGACCCTGACTAGCTAAGTTTTCTGACTTTAAAAAAAATCTAGTTTACACTGAGAACTAACTTGCATTAAAAAATTAAGTCAATGCATTAGCTAATGTTATCTATCTAATCTTGTTTTTCAAGTCTAGACAAAGCTTAAAAGACGCACCTTACTTTTAAAAGGGCAAGGAGGCAAAGGTTTAACTCCTACTTCAGACTGACACTAAAAGTTTGCCAGACAATATAATTTCCTCAAAGACATTTCAAAAGTCCGTGAAGAAGCAACTGGAACATTTACCTAGGATACTGAGCCTCTGACAGGTTAAAGCTCTCCACTGTTTGAAAGTCTAGGGTTGTTATATTTCAATAATTACCTCTGACAAACTGATGAAATTCATTCAGATTTTAAATAGCAATGTTAATTCTCAGGTCTCATTTCAGAAGGACACACCAATATTGGTAATTATGGAAAAGCTAGGTACTTAGGGTTGGGATAAAAGAATGTAAGTTTCAATCCTTCTAAGCACTTCTAATATTTAGCAAGGAGAATCACAGAATATTTCTGTCGCATCCGCCCAAGGATAGTCATGCATGTCAATTGTTTCAATTAAACAGTTAAGGTGCTATTTCTCCACTGTTTCCCCAACATATTTTTCTCTTTTTTTTAAGCTAAAACTGCAAGTTTAAAATTCCCCTGAAGAAAGTTTTAGCACGGGCCACAAATAAGGGGATCCTGAAGATTAGGACCAAGAGCCACTGAAGAACTGCAAAGAAAAACATTAACAATATACTTCCTTGCATCCTTACCAATTAACACCCAAGATTATTTTAGCTTGTGTAGACTCACTTAGTTGGATCATACACCATCCCCTTTTGTTTTGAAGCATCAGCTTGGGCACATGGAGCTGCTACAATGGTAACTTTACTGCATCAGTGCAATAACATTAGAATAGCACTTTGTGAAGGTGAAACTGGAACAGGTTCTCTGCTAAAAAGCAGCCAGATAATTTATATCTAGTTTTCTTAAGCATTTTAAACCAAATTCCTTTTTTTTAAATTGAAGTTTATTTTTAAAACATTAGGCTAGTAATCACATGTAAAAATTAACATTTCCCCTTGATAGCATAAACTGGAAAAGCATACTCCTTATCAAGAAAACTTGAAAGCCACAAGCATCCAGCCACTTTGGAAAACTGTGACTTTCTGGAGATCCACAGCAGTTAGTGAGCATATATGAATTTTGGCAAGACATTTCTGACTTCCTGGTCCTTTACTTTGACTCTGGGCCAAGCCATTCTGAATGCCAGATATTCACATAACCAAGATGGCACATGAAAGGAGCCAGATCATTCACAATTTCCCGTTTTCAACATTTAGTGGAGAGCAAGAGACAAATCCACAACACTAGTAATAGCTGGAACAGAGTAGAACCCAAAGTCTCCAGATACCGGGCACAAAGCACGTTCCTTAAAAGTGTTAGGTCTAGGATTTTGGATTGCATCATTTATCACATTCCCAACACCAAGTCAGTTTCTTGTTTTGGAAAGGGGTTAATGCGGGAGCAAAAGATGCAGTGGTTAAAATGACCCAACATTCCCAAAAGAAATGATATGAAGAACAAGGACATTTTGGTTTAAAGTTAGTAGTCAAATTCTCCAAGGACGTCTGTTCTGTTTGTTTGTTTTTTAAATGAACAGCCAAATGTATGTTTTTAACCACCTCCTTGATCTAACACTTCAATCACTGGCATTATCCAATTTAGTGTTTAATTTTTTTTCCTGTAACGTCACTTGGTTCTTGGCTACTAACCTTTCATGTTACTCTTGGATTTGTCAGTTTGCTTGCCTGTGGGGGTTTGGGCCTGCTGCCCCTGCCCACTGGAAGAGGCGGCTTGCTGTGCTGCTTTCTGCTTTAACATTGTCCAGTCGAATGTATAGTCATATTGGTGGTTCAAGGTCCTAGAAAGAGAAGGGAAATGCATGACAACTACCTTTAAATACCAAGTTTTAGTTGAAGAAAACAGAGCTAGTGTATGTAGATGGTAAGTATTAAACTGAAAAGGGCTCTGGGAACAAGCCTGAAGCCATTTAGCAGTATTTGTTTCCCTTGTGTACACAAATGTACAAGCTTTTCCTTCTAGTTCAGCTGCTCCTTCTGACTGCATCAAAGACACAATACTTTTGTTTTTATTCCGGTACAAGAAAGATTCTGAGTGCAACAAATTTAGAACTCTTTAGTGTCTGATATTTAGGAACATACCCAAAAAATGATCAGCTGATGAAGAGGCAATACTAGCACTCCTGTTAATTAAAAGCTTTTTCCAAAGAAATCTGGGTTTGTGTTCTAACGTTTCATTATCACAAAAACCTTTTAGAAATCACACTCTCCCATCCCCATTCTGAAATCAAACGAACTTGCAGGGTTACTTTCAGTCCTATTGTTGGGGAGGCCCCTTGAATGCCCAACACTCCTCCTCTAACATTTCTTCCTCAAAATTCAACAGTTCTTTTGTAATAGTTTTGTTAGAGGTGGTTGGAAATACCAGTTCTAGGTATTTCACAGCTTGTTGATATGCAGGCACAAAGTCACTGATGTAAAAACATGCGACTACCACGGTCATGCAGATAGAACAGAAAAAGGTTTGTTTTCCTTCACAACCCATTTCATGTTCTCCCATGCTTCTAAAACTGGAGCTTACAATTTAAAGTGGGAAGTAAACTTAGCAGAGGTCTTCTCTTCTGGACACAGCAAGCTAGCTCGATAAACAAACTGCGTAAAGTTACTAGTGATGCAAGCAAACACAATTAGGTTGCTAGATACTTGCACAATTTCCAAACTGACCTGAAAAGAATACGGAACAATTGCCTCAGATACATGTAATCTGGTGCCTCTTCAAAGCGCAGACCACGACAGTAGTTCAGGTACATGGCAAATTCTGCAGGAAAACCCTGTAAAGCAATAACATTAGTCAAACTAGGACCTGCAATGAGGTCTTCAGGATGAAGGGGACCCCCTCCCCCCCCCACAAAATAGTCTACTTTTAAAGGGGCAGGGGAGGGAAGAAGAGAAAGATACCTATATTTGAACAGAAAAAATTGTCCATCTACTTTATCATGATGCCAGTTTTTGCCCCACTTTGCTTAACTGAACAGCCAACACCCATTTTTCCCCCCATCTCAATTTATAGGTCCTCAATCCAATACCTGCTTTCAAGGCATGGGGAAAAATGCTACACTAAATTATGCCTCCTCATTAAAAGCCTGTTACATCAACTGCTTTA